AACATTGAGCAGTAAGTACGTAGACTTCAAACAGCCAAGTGGATTATCCTGTTCGAGGGGAAACTCCTTAAATATATTTTAATGTTCAAATATGAAAAACGGTTTAAAGCTACGACACGATAAGGAAACATAATCCTTATTTTTAGTATCGCAAATAGTTTAATAGATTTTACGAATACTTTAGCTTACTTATAGGTGTTTTATAGACATATACAATTTGGAGGGATAATAAATAAACAACGATATAAAATGCATTGCGCGAGAGGTATCAATAAGTTGAAAAAATTCGACGATGAGGTATAGGACTCGGTAGCTCAATTGGTAGAGCAACAGCACGGAAAGCTGACGATGCCGGTTCAAGTCCTGCCCGAGTCGAAAATTTTTTCAATTTATTTTCGATCTTTAAAAAAAAATGTATTTTCTTTCTTTTTAAATGAGTTTTTTTATTCACTTACTTGTATTACTAATCATTCCGTATAGCAGCCGAGTGTAACAGACTTTATTAGAAAATATATAATAAAACTAACTATAATTGGTAGATAATCTTACACTTAAAATCGTATAGACGTTATGTTGAGGGCGGTATCATCGTAATTCTTCGAACAATCGGGGGTGACAACATCTCTTGATGATGCCGTCCGCTGTTGATGGCGAACATCGAGAACCTACTTCTCGAACAGCCCGAAAAACAATTATATGAGCAAGTGAGTGAGCATTGCGTTTATCTATTGGGCTCCAAAAAGCAGTACATTTTCAATATAATCATATTTGTTTATTTTTTTTATTGATCGATATTTATGTATACAGAATGTCTGGAGAACGCCTTTATACAGAAAGTCTATTTTTTTTATTTTACTTTATTCCATAAGTATAGTTAGATATATGAAAACAAGTACATATACAGGTAATATATACATAAGTTCCTACCGTTATTTATACGAATATCAAATTAACTAAGACTTTCAACAGACGTTCAACAAGTTCCACTTCACTCTGAACATGAAAAGCCAATGGAATTATATCGTCTTACATTTCGCATCTTATTTTGATAGAGGAAACTAAATTAATTGGTGTAATACCTGCGAGAGCTATTGAATTCTAGAACCTCTCGTAATGCGCCCCTTTGCTTCCCACACAGGTTTATACTCTGAATTGCAGTCTAAGTACAGCTTACAACTAGTATTGCTAATTGTAGAGGGCGCTAGAATTTCATAACAGTATGTTGAAGGACGAGAGCCCTGTTCTATTGGTAGGACACGACCTGGGTTCGTGAGGTAGATCCTCGCTCGTGCTTTAAATAATATATGAAGAATAACAACGCCACTCACCCACGCAATGAACCAGCATGGTGAACTTAGGCACGTAGACCTTCGTATCTCAATAGTAGAACGGAAAGGACCGTCTAAACATATCTTATAAACATACTCCTATTTTTTTTGAAAACATTAATATTTTCACATGTTAAAAATATTATAAATAAAATATCGTATACAGATTAATAAAAAAATTACGCAGATAGGACCTGAACCAGCATCCACAAAGAACCGTGCTGTTGCTCTAACCGTCCATTGCGTCCTACATGTCATCGTCGAAATAATAAAAAAAACAATTTAAACGTCTTACTTGTTCTTATAAATCTTATTTATTTAGTCCAAAACATTACGAATCTATTGTAACCGACGTCAATTATATATACAAAAATATCAATTAAAAAATACTTTTTTAATGTAATACTAATACTTATTTCAGCCTCGAAATTATGTTACTTTAATAGCGCCATCTGTGTGCTTTTCTAAAGACTGAAAGACAAAAAGTTCACAGTACAACAGTTTGCCATCTAGCGAAGCTTTTCCGAACTAAATAAGCACATTCTCTCAGTTACTTGACGTTAAGTTATTCACGTCGAAAGGAGTCATCTTTAAAGATGGCGTTTAACAACACAGCAAAAGTATTGCGTTTTAATACCGATAATGGTAATTACATGATATTATAAAAGTTTCTTAAAGAGGATACCTGTCTACTTTTCAGTGTTTCTATATACTTTCGTTATAGGCGCCTACGATAACCGAATATAAACTATTTGCCATACACAACGGACAACACGAAGTTTCAAACTAATCGACATAAGATTTACGCCAAAATGAATCACCAAATTAATAATTAATTCGACACTATTAACAAAAGCCGACATGAATCTTACATCACTCTCAATAATTGCTTCCTGATCGATAGCATTACGTAATTAATCACCCACACAAGCCGCCACTACAAAGCCTACTAATATGCCTATTGTTTCAGATATACAAAGTGTTTGATGTGATATTGTGTATCAGTAACCTGAGCTAGCCCCCAATGACCCGGCTTTCGAGATGCAATCCCCTTCACCTCGACTACGTCATTACAGGTCCCCTAAGTCAATCCTAGCATGCTCGCTTTTATCAACTATGAGATTCCGAGAACTGAAACCTACTTACATTAAACAAATGCAATAACCAATATACCTTTTAAGGTATTTTTTAAGAGACATTACTTGACCAATTGGGTATTTTCCAAATGTAAAAAATACGACAAGGGCGGGTCTAGAACCGGCATCATACCGTTCTGTGCTGCTGCTCTAACCAGTTCACACAACAGCTCAACTGTTTAGAAATAGTTCGAAACATTACTTGTTTTAAAAGTTTTGAACATATTTAGAGCTCATAAAATATATCGTTTAAATGCCTTTTTAGAGTAAATAATAAAATGTACCCAACATATTTAATACTAGTTGAGTTTAATAGGTAATCTTATAAAAGTACTAAGTTATTCCTTTCGCATAGTCTGATTTTGCTTAGAGATATTTGATATTTGTTTAACATTGACAGGAAATTGTTTAATAATAACTTTTCACTTCTCAGAAGCTCGATAATAAGATTTAGGAGAAGACTTTTTAGTTAGAAAATAAGATGTTTTTTTTGTAAAAAATATGTACCTTATTACATTGTATGTAACATGTATTTACTTGTATTTTAAAGAACTTTAGTGGATTTCTTCTTCTAAATTGACACAACCGTCGTCATTATCTATGACTTCAAACGTATCTACATATTTAAATAAAACACTAAGGATTTAAAACGCGATATAATTTAGTTTTAAAATTATTGTCTATTTGTATAGTCGCAAAGCATCCAAAACGTCGGGCCGTAGTTAAAAATAATTTTCAAACAAGGATAACTATAATATATCGCGTTTTAAACCATTAGTGTTTTATTTAAATGTGTACTACTCGCGTAAACTACAGACAGTGTCTACATATCCTAGATATTCGATAAGGTAGAAACTACTTAGTAGATACAGTAGAATAATTCTTATAGCAGTAGCACAAAGCACAAACGTTTTCATAAAATATAGCACTCAGCGAATGTTATAGTTTGTTATAAGCATAAAATGCACTAATTCCTACCAAATCAAAAGCTGTTAAACTCACAAAGCTTAATTATTTTACACTTTCCCCAGTTTATTTACTCGTAATATTGTTTGTAGATATTAAGGCTGTGTCAATATCCTTAGAAACAAACAGCAAGTAAGTTTGTAATTACTTACAGAAGAACAAATAACATTAAGTTTATTTATGTTAGGTGGTGCTGTTACAGCCTACGAACGTGTATGTAATTTACCATTTAATATAACACTTTCAAACGAAGTCCAACATGTTTCATAAATAATATATGTTTATTAAAGCATCTTAGAATCGGTGGGAATCGAACCTACGACCACTAACCACGTTTACTAGCCATATATCACTATCACTAGACCGACGTCTTGATTATAGAAACTGGGAGTAATTGATGTAGGACATATAAGTGAGTTTTTAACGGTTTAAAACGTAAACTTATAAAATATTATTTTCACATCAACGACCTGACGTTGCCTTACAGCAGCCAAAAACTGGTTAACAGTCAAAATAAGTATTTAATTTATACCGCACACGCGTAGATTGTATTGTTTTTTTTTATATGAAGGTAATGAATGTACCGAATATTCGCGATATTTACCTTGATAACGTAAATTGTAATTGAATTTCATTGAACAAATCATTTCTAACCGATTACTCGCATTGAAAGTTTCCGCATCGTCAAATATTTCCAATATGATTCGTAGTGCCAAACCGTTTCGGAATGCTAGTGCGATAGTTATTCGAGTAAATATCCGTCTTAATAGACGTGCTAGTCCATTAACTGCCTTCTATGATTATTATTTATTAATAAAAGGAAATATTTCAATTCTCATTTTCACATGCACATGCTGCCACTATATAATTAAAAATCGATTGATTGAAAAAATTACGACTCAGGCAAGACTTGAACCGGAATCCTCAGCGTTCCGTAATATTGCTCTTATCAATTAAGCTACAACTTAATTGATTAGAGCAACAGACAAATATATGGTATTACCTCTTCAGACCACCATTGTCGTCAAGTAAGATCCCTCCAAAAGTTTATAAGCTAAGTACAAATTAAATTAAACTACCAACTTGCCTTTTTTGTACATATTGTGTGTAACGTCAGGTCGTAGTAAACATAAATTAAAAAAATAACTAATATACATCACGTTTTAAATCGTCAAAAGCGTATTAAAAACGAACCTTATGTTATTATTTACTTAACTTTCGCTAGTAGACAAAACGTACGTACATATGTTTGTAATGAGGAAATAACACTATGACAGGAGTGACAGTATTGACGTAAAATTTGTTTGTAGAGACCATGAATGGTTTATTGGTGGGTGTAATAGATATGTGGACACGCATGGGAGCGGTTATTACTTAATATCTTGTCACTTCAGTTATCGGTGCGCTCATGTGAAAACAAGAGCGATATCTAACGGTTTAGTGTAACTCAAATACCGTATCAACATGTACTCTTATTCATATTATAGTAATAACAAATCGTACGTTCCAAAATGTACTTTGTTCTAAGCGTCTGATATCAATGTCTAATACTCTTTAATTTAACAGGACGATGACTGCAATATGTTTCGTTTGCAACCTTCCGATCCTCTCCCACCAAGTGGGCTTGGTTTGGGCGGGCGGCAACGGCTGGGACGAGCTCACTCGCTCCACGCTAGAAGAAACTACGTTAAGGCAGAGACTTGGCAGCCGACGGGACTCCGCTGCGCAGGTCTCATGTCTTTCACCCCCGGAGCCCGATGTAGCAGACCAGCCAAGAGGTACGAAACGTAAAGATTTACGTAAATACTTTTGTTATTACACTATTACAAATTACATTTTTTCAGGTGGACCTCGTCGACGCCGGTCCTCATTAGCTCAACTAACAGATATCCTAAGAGAATGGGGCGGCGGTGGAAGCAATGCTCCAAGAAGACAAAGAGCACCATTGTCTAGAAGAGAAACATTGGCTGATCTAGCTAGATCCCTTCCTTGGGCCCGCCATGAACCACCACCGCGTCGAAGAAGAGATTCCTCTGCCGACTCCGGCATTAAATCGATGGCTTCCAAACGCCGCGACTCGAAAGCAGCTAACCAAGATTTCCGCTCTGACTACCCACACTATTTTGAAAGAAAAGATTCGACTACAATTATCCCGTCCAGAGAAAGGCGAATCAAGAGACGCGGTTCCGGAGACGATAAAGAACGCAGAGACTCTATGGATGGACATCGACATCGGCGTGATTCTGTAGTAGCCCCACCACCAAGAATAGTGGCTACACATAAGAAAAGAAGGGCATCTCCACCGATTCAGGCACCACCTTCCTTTGTTGATGCTTCTTCAGATCCTGGACCTTCACATCCACCATCAGTAACTGTTGTAACAGTTCACGAACCGAGTCGATCTGATGGCGAGTGCCCACCTATGTCAATGCCAACTATAATAACTTCAGCAGTCACACCTTCACCCACCTCGCCAACTGTTCCCAGTAATAATACTGTCTCGACTCAACCGTCTCCTACGGCTTCAAGTAATCAAACGACTCAAGGAACCCAAGAAAGTCAAACTATACAAACTACATCTGGCGCGAGAACCCCAAGTTTAGGCGGACGCCGTGACTCTACTACACAGTGCGGTCGTACAAGAAGAGATTCACGGGCCGCAGCTAGCCCAGAAAGACGCCTTGGTAGATTACAAAGACAGGCTACTGCATTTGATGACCCGACCGGCCCACCAGGAACAAGAAGACCGTCTCTAGAGCCAGAAGACGCGAGTCGAGCGAGACGGGACTCCCTCAGTCCAGATTCGGCGGCGAGATCTAGACGCGAAAGAAATCAACTCAGTCCAGACCGGGCAGGTGGAGGAGAACTGAGTCCGTCAGCAGCACGACGTCGTAGTCGATTAAGGAGACAAGCATCTTGTGCCAGAATGGGTAGAGCTAGAAGTCCGGAGTCGAGTTCTTGCTCAAGCCGCGATCCGAGCCCTTGTGCCAGACCACCCGAAAGAACAATTTTCAGAAGACAATCAACAACAGAAGAGATATTAATCGCTAGAGGATTTAGGCGGCAGTCAACCACTGAAGAAATGATTCGTTGTAGAAATTTTAGGCGGCAAAGTTCACAAAGCGATGACGCGTGTATGCGAGCTAGAGGACGCCGCGATTCGTCAACTCAGATTTTAGACGGAACGATCGGAACAATGACAGTGGAAACGACTAGCACTTTCTTTGACTCAAGTACTCAAACAGGTTAGCTTCTTTATTTATTTATGAAAACTCAAATAGCATGTACTAGTAAAAATAAAAAATACACATACAATTCAAATTGCTAAAAGTGACATCTATTGAGCGACAAAAATCTTCACATTGCGGTCGCTTCGCGTTCTATTTTCAAATATGTATGAAGACGTTCCACTTGGGGACAATAATTGGCCTTATAAATTTATAATACCCTCCCCGGTGTTTTGACGGCCTATAAATTATTTACGGACTACCAATTACGAGTGATAGAATTTAACCAATTAACGTACAATTAGAATTCAATATTCGAAACAATTTACTAATCAAGAGCTAACTGTACAAAATAATTAGTTAGGATTTGAAGCCTCCGCAAATATTGCCTGTACGGAACAGATTCGCGATTACAAAAGCGCACCACGTGTTTGTCAACCGCCCCTCGCCGTCAACCAATCACCACCTTGTATTTGCGTCTCACTCGCCCGCGTATCGACGGAAAAGCGGAACAGGGTTAAAGAAGGCTCGTCGTGTTACAGTGGCGCCATCGCCTAGCTACGGCGAGCGAGGCTTTGTGCGAGTCATTTTGAATTGGTAGCGCTTTCGCGCGGACCTCGGGCCAGTCATGAGATGATCTAAAACGCCCGGCGCAGGCTCGCGTGCCCGCGCCCTCTCATCTGTTGCCTCCCGCTGCCATGTTTACCAAAAGTGACGTGCAGTACACAACGAATAACCTCCACGAAAGCTTTCTGAAGAAAAATCCGCGAACCAAGCCACGACTCGATTAGCACAACGAATAAGCACTCCGCGTTTAACAACTTCTAGTGATATCGAACTTCGAATGTGATTTAGAGTACCTTTTTAAATTAAAGGTGTGATGACAATATTTACAAAGGGTGAACTTAACCTATAAACTTTGGTATCGAAAGAAACACCAATATTGAATGTAGGGCGATAATTTTGTGTGTAATACGTGTATTGTGGACAATTTGTAATCGTTTTTTATATAAATAGAAACGAAACGACAATGGTGAGTACTGATTTTTTGTGTGTTATCATTATTTAATTCATAATTCAATACAAGACGATGTTTAAAATTTTATTATTGTCTTGAGTAGGTAAAAATATAGTTTTATTACTTACATTATGATTACATAATTATATATATATATATATATATATAAATATAAAATATTCATGTAAATTCCCGCTAGATAATAATAAAATTAAACGAATTCGTAACGTTCGATTAGACAACGTTTAATTTTTCAAATTTATATAGTGTACATAATAATAAACAATACTTCTTATATGTACTATTACAATTTAAAACAACAATTATTCGGGCCGATATTATTTTGCAGAATAGCCAGAAAGGTCTCTAAACGATAAAAACAATTACTTACAAATGAAAAAATGATTGAAACAATTTCGCCTCGCGTAATGGCCCGTTATATTTAAAATAACACCGCCGAAAGCATTTCAGGCTCGCGCAATAAAAAAGAAATGAAAATACCTATTTACTGCCCACTTTACTACCTACGAGGTCATTAATTACGACCTACGTATATCTTTCTATTGCTTCCATTTTATACTACAATAAAAAAATTCAGGTACAATTTTACGATGTAATTAAATATATCGATACCTAACAGCTATAATAATCGATCGTAGAGCAACACTATTAACAATAGAAGAACGAAGATTTTAATGAAGTATTAAATCTCGTTGGAATTCAACATTACTTCAGTTAAAATGTTTTTTACAACAAGGTATCCTACATATTTTACAAATCAAACATTTTGGAGAAGGTTTCAAGGTTTGTTACTGTTTTAAAGCCAAACGGCTAGGCTGATTTCGATAAACGTTACAGCAGAGACATATACATAGATTACGTTTACTTCAAAAAGTCATTTTCTTTACATTATTCATGTACTGTGTTAATACAACGATCGTATCTTCCAAAAGGATATCAGTTCTAATATTCTCATTTAAGATTCACATAATTTCGTATAAAACTCTATTATTCAGCGGTAAAAGCGTAAGTTATGAGGACGTCTGCCATATGAGTTCGCCTTAAAATTTCAAAGGTACACAAACGTTGGCAACTCTCCCAACGAATCTAATACACCCTTTGGCGCGGTGCCAACGGAAAATCGCTTTCACTCTTTCAATGGGCGGGCGATTTGGCACGCACGAAGCCACCTTATTAAAATTTTAAATTTCGATATTCGTTTTCCTTTCTCTTCGTCACTGTGCTCCAATTTTTCTTTTTGAAAAACGATGTCACTTTTAGCAGAAAACATAAATAAATACGAATCTGAAACATAAATAATCCTCACATTTTAATGGATTGAAACAGCTATTATACAGACGTGACTCGAATCCCCGATAGACGACGTACCCGCCATCTACGTTAACTCTATTTTTCTTTCTTTAACTTTAAAGAAGTATATTCCATTTTCAAAAAATGATTCTATTCAAGTGATCTATTAACATAACATGTTGACGTATTAACATTTCTACTCAAAAACTTTAATTGAAGCTATATTTTCAATATAGTATTGAAAGTGGAAAATAGGCCGTAGATTGCCGATAACTCATAAAAGTAGTTACAGTTATGGCTGTGGAAATCTTTCAGTTTCAGTCAAATGCCTTAGTCTTTATTTTCATACAATTGGTCCTCCTAGTGTATTAAATGGGGTAATTTGCTGATTAAACCGCAAGAGATACAGAATTTCTCGGTCTTACAGGGCATAAAAATTCAAGTGCTGTATTTAAAAATTTGACATATGGGCATGGACTCTGAGGTGGGGCAAACGGTTAACACGTTCCACAACCTTAGTTCATGTTCTGCTATGTAAAGATATTTAGGGCCGTTCATAAAAAAATATTTACGAAGAATTTAATAGCCTTTTATAAACAAATCGATTCATACCCGCTTTTTGCATAAATTTGGCGGTCCATCAAATTTTTTAAATACTTCTTTCAAACAATTCGCATACTTGACAGTACAAAGCAAAATACGTACGTTTTACAACAAAGCTATGTAGCTCAGTGGTTAGGTTAAGCACGAAAGGTATATTTTGCCCTACCGGACCGAAACAATACTTGATTCTCCCGGACACCAAATTTATTCGTCCAATGCGTCACAAGGGATGGACTTTACTTATTCATAGAATCATTTGAAATTTATATTTTTGTGTAAAATGAGATTCAAGCCCCGCCACTGATTGCATGATTTGTATGAATCGGTTCTAAGCTTTATTGCTAATTATAGAATAAAAATAATTTATGTTTGAAACAAAGATAATGTAAACTTAGTGATTAGACCGCCTCTGTAGCTAAATGGTTAAATGCTAAGAGAGATCCTGGGTTCAAAACCCACGGAGACAATGGATTGTTTCAGTCTAGCGCAAAATTTTGATCAAATACTTGCCAGTAAATAAAACCGATTAGTGAAACAGACATAGATATGTGTTCGCCCCATGCTCCACGGGGGGAAAGGAATTTCACTCGAACTTAGTAATACTTCGTTTCTGTCTATTGCAGAGCCTTCTCCTTTATATGACAACAATCATTACCACGAGGAATGTCTGCGGTGCAACTCATGCGGCTTAAATCTCACTGGACCAAATCAGGTACGTAATTTGACTGTAAGATCAAATTAAATAAATAACTTCAAAATTAAGTTATGTTTTGTCTGTTCTGTATTATCTTTGTTTATCGGTAATTTCTATTTTTAGTGATTAAATTTTAAAATCTAAATCATCTCATTTATTTATAACGTTAAGCTAGATATAATAAAATAGATCTCAGACACAATAGACAGGCAAAACCAGGTCTTATTGTTTAGGAAATCTAAGTATTTCTGATGTTTACGCGAGTAGTACACATTTAAATAACCGTTTTAAAACACGAAATTCATTCGTTAAAATATTTTTTTATTGTAACTACGACTACGACTGGGGAACTAATATATTTTACATCGTTTAAAGTGTTTTATTTAAAAATAAAAAACAAGTTTTTTTTTCAATTTTCAAAACAAGGTTTTTATTTATTACAAAATTAGTTACCTATTATGTAAATTTTAGAGAAACACCAGGCACTTTTTTCGTATGTACTTGTTTGATGTTTTTTTTCTTCAATTATTGAAGCTACATTGAAAAAAAAACAGCTTGTTACATAAATTCCTTGTTATATAACTAATATAATCGTTTGCTACGGGTTGTTACAAAAAATAGCAGTACCGTCAGCAGTTCAAGTTTATTACTTAAGGCGATTAAGTACTTAGACCGTAGCTTATTACTTTCGGAAAGTACTAAAGGCCTAAATAGTTCTCCTTTATCTAATTTTGCGCTTCTGCTCATAACTGTTGTAAAGTAGGGCTATCAAATAATAACTACTGTCAGAAGTTACTGTATTAATGTAAAAACATATTTTGAGAACCTTTTGACTCGTTGGAGTATTGGTATGTATGGTAATCAACGTGTCGTGGGTTCGAATCCCACCAGTACCAACATGGAAAACAAGATGTTAAAAAGTATGGTAGGAATCCAAAAATTCCGTCCGTTTCACGAACCACCGTTCACAGATGAAAAAGCCGTGAAGCTTAATCGCGTTTCGGCTTCAGTCTGTGGATTTTTGAGTATTCTAAAATAAAATAGGTCGACTACACATCTTGTTTAGATATTCATATGTATGGGGTATACCTACTATTCAGTGAATCCCATGGTTGTCTGTCCTCCTCTATCTCAAACAAAAACGTAGATTTTGCACGGGTTACAGTAACGTTACAATACTAATTTATATATTTGTAACTCAATATATAAAGGTAAACAAATTTTATATCGAATCGAGAATGACATAAAAAAATGTTGAAAAGGATATCTTACTTAACGCCAACGTCAACCCTTGTTTTAAGAAAGGCGAGTTCAACCGAAATTCTGTAGATCAATTTTGTTACCTTTTCGCAACAAATTTGTTTATTTTACCATTGAAACAGTAAGGATTGTTTGTATATTATGTAAGTAGTACTTATTTAAATAGAACACTTTTAACGGTATAAAATGCCAATTATACTATATAATAATATATTAGTTAAACTTATTTTTATCTAATAAATTGTGTAAGGCTCTCACGGCCATCATTATTGTTTCTCGGGGTGTTCGGACGTCAGCAAGAAGAGGTTTTCGACGTTTTGGCGGCTTCATCAGAAAATTGTTAGAACTACTTATTTTCACGTTTTAAATCGTTAAAAGTGTTTAATTAAATAAAACGGTTATCATTACTTTAGTAAAGTTGAAATATATATTTGAAAACTGTACTTGAAAAATATACGACACGGTTATGACGGGTTGCCTTTTTTACTCACGCACGCTTGAATGTATGGAGCTCTGTGGATGCCGGTTCAGGTTCTGCCCTTGTCGTAATTTTAATTCATATTGGTTCATAACAATATTTAAACTTGTAGTTGAATAAAAACATACCTACTATAATGAAGCAATCAAAACTGAACTCGTATTATAAATATAATAAACGATGAAGGTTCTATTACGCTTAATTTGTTCACTTTGCCGTCTGAAGACCTTTTTATTGTCATTTGTCCTTGAATGAGCACTTTTTAACCCAGCAATGCGTACACATTTAAGGCGGTTCTAACAAATCTTTTAGTGCCCTTATTATACTAGCTGTGCCAGCGACTAGGTCCGCTAAGAATATTTATTTTGGGCATCCAAATTCGTTTTTGCAAACCCCTTTTTTATTAACTTAAGCTGTTACCTACAGAGTCGGTCGTGTCCCTCCCCGTCGTTATTACAAGTTAATCTTAATAGATAGGCATACAGCGTAGTAGACTTTTTCTTAGATCATTTAAAGAGAACTCATTCTTTCATACATATTTTTTAGGTAACTTGAACGGTTTTTGCAGTGTACGCCTAGGTAACTCATAATTATGAATAATTTTCCTAACTTCTTTCACATTTCCCGATGTATCTTCGCTTGTATTAGTCACAGGGCAATGTTTTATAGCCTTTCTCGATAAATGCTCTAACCAATATAAAATTTTTTTTTCAATTTCAACCCGCAGTTCCTGAGATTAGCGCGTTCAAACAAACAAACTCTTCAGCTTTATTAGTATAGATAATATCATCATAAATAAGATAGTATAGATATATTAAAGTAAGTACTTACCATACTCTAGATAATTTATATCAAATATATGTACACAGATGAAATGAGTATTAAAATAACGAATATGTGTTCGTTTGTTTATCCTTTATAACTAAACTAAATAATCAAAACAATAAGAACTCTTGACTAATTTTGGTTATACGCTAGCGCAATCTGTTTCTTTACAATTTGACTTCGATATTAGGGGAGGATATTATCTCAAACCTCCCGTGACCACGACAGCAAAACATTGAAATGACGAGTCGTAGTTAAAACAAGTAATCTAATATATTTCGTGTTTAAAACCAATTAAAAGTGTCTTATCTAAATGTGTGCTACTCGCGTTAACAACAGACAGTACTTTATTATTTCTTTATATATATTAGTACTTTTATAGTATTTTAATTACAGTTAATGCTAATAATATTACATAATATGTTCAAACTATAAATCAAATCCAATTAGGGAGATGAAATTATGTGAAATTTATTGAACGTAGGTACATCAAAGCGATTGAAGCACAGCTAGCATTTGTTTCACACGATGCCCGCGTGATAGATTCCTTTTCACAGCGCTAATGGCCCCATGTGGGTTTCCTGCGAGATTTCTTCGATTAATTTCGATCAAGGCCACGTAGAGGTTGGGCTTCCAATATACTGATGGTGTTATAACATTATTACATGTTATGGGAATTCGATTACTTCGTGATAAATAGCTGAAACCATTCTTGTGAACAAATACTGTCTGTAGTTTACGCGAGTAGTACTAAAACACTTTAACGGTTTAAAACGTGAAATGAACTAAACATTTTTTTCGTAAATCGTTTCGTTAAACGTCGGGCTGTAGTTAAAACAGTAACTAACTAATATATATCGCATTTGAAACAGTTAAATTGTTTTATTTAAATTCTAGTGATCGTCAACGTCATCAATCCACGGCTGGGTCTCGGGTCTCTTATATATGTATCTGACACACTGAGCAATTAATTTACAAACAAATTGTAAAATAATTTTTCGTTAAAGTAATATACTTTTGACGGATTAAAAATGATTACGGGTTGTAGTAAATGTCGGACGTTGTTAACATAAATAAGGAATAAGTTAAGTAATATATTTCGCGTTTTAAACCGTTAAAATTGTATTCGCATAAAGTCCAGATAACATGATAAACTATTGAGCTACGGAGGGGGTAAATTTTACTGATCGACTGGCAATCGAATTCCCAACCTCGTGAAAAAGTCGAATACCATTACATTAGATCACCACAGCCCCCGGTTTTTAAACGAATTAATTTATTGTTACAAGGTTACGAACGCTGATAAAATATTTATCAAAGATATTTAATATTCTTTCTGCGATAGTAATTTTCATAGTTAAATTAAAATTCTCGAGTGTTATAACTTTCCAATCATTTTAATTGGGTAAGTTTTGATAAGGCCCACCTCCTTGTTCTAGCAAATATTATTTTAGGATAACAATTTTGGTCTTCGGGTCTTAATAAGCGGTTACAAGAATTAGTCTAAAAACATTATGAATTAAGGGAGACGAAAAGCCACGTCCGTCTTAAAGTGTAATTTATATTTTAAAAAATAAACAGGCAAGGCTCGAAGCCACGACCATTCTATGCTCTACATTAGATTTTATATTGATTTTTTGAAAAATAAATACTGACAAATGTGCATATTTATTTTTAAGCTATTCGACGGGCTCGTTGGTATAATGGTAGCGATGTATGGCTAATTATCAATGGGTCGTAGATTTGATCCTCACAGGGTCCTTATTTTTCAATTTATTATTTTTCTGAAACATATTGGACTTCGTCTCGTAATCTGGATATAACTACCGTCCACGTAAGCGAAGATACAGCGATATGTAGAAAATAATGATACCTCTATAAATGATTTTAAAAATAGTCCGCGACGCTATATGTCTATCTCTTAAGACGAATTCGTAGAACGACGGGACGCAACCGATGACGTAGGTTAGGGCAGTTTGCAAAAACAATTTTGGATGCCCAAAATAACTATTCTACGGACGAAGTCGCTGACTTAGCTAGTAATGTTATATTAATCATTAATGAATTCATTTAATGATTCTTGACGAGGAGTAAGTGCTTAATTACTCGTAGTATCGACTAATCACCACTTTGTGTTTCGATACAGCGTTTAATTTGTTTGAGTGCGCTTTGAACATAATTAGGATTAAATTCATCTAGTTTGCAAAATTCAACCGTTCTAAACATGACTGGATATTGTTTTTCATCTAAACAACATGCGCTGTCTATCTCTATGACTTTGGATATTCGGAAATCCACAAATTGAAACAGAAACGTGATAAAATTCACGGCTTTTCATCTGTGGTTCGTGACACGGACGAAATTTCGATATACCTACCACCCGTTTAATAGCCAGATTTCCAAACGAAGTCTTACAAAGTCTTACTTTAAATATAAATATGCACATTACCAGTATTTATTTTTCAAGTTCTAAAATCTAATTTAGAGCAACTACATAGAACAGTCGTGGATTCGAGACCTGTCTGTTTAAATTTTTTTCAAATAAATTACGCTTTATGACGGACATCGCTTTTCGTTTTCCTTAATTCATAATATTTTTAGACTTATGCTTGTAACCGTAAAAAGTAAAATCGATTATAAATTGAAAAATGAACTATTTGGCCAGGACTTGACCCGGCATCCATAGCGTTCCGGGCTGTTATTTTAAACCTAACCAACTGAGCTACCGCACTAATTTTTTTCACATGTTTAATTACTTTTTTGTAGAAACGTGCAAGACGTTTCAAGAACCAGATCCTGTGCGACCTGCACTTCGCAGACGTCGCTCTGATGGAGTGCAGTGACTTCATGCAACAGCTTCGCAGCTTCAAACCGCAGTCCCTGGGCTGCGCCGTTGCCAGGCGGAAGTCTTCGACGACACTCATTTTCCCTCTACCGCCGCAAGCATGTTCAGGTAACTACTGGGCTTCTTAGGTTTTCGAAGTATTTGATTGTTGAAAAAAATTGTTCTCTTGTTTCACCATCACCAGATCACATAGGGTGTTTGCGATCATCGAATAAGAAAAACCCGCGACGGCCGAAGACGATCGAAAACTGAAGAGTTTGTTTGTTTGTACATTTGAACGCGCTAATCTCAGGAACGACTGGTTCGAATTGAAAAATTTATTTATATGTTGGTTAGAGCGTTTATCGATGAAGGCTATGGTATATAAAATCACGCAGCGACTAATAGAAGCAAAGAAATGGCGGGAGAGAAAAAAATCGGGGAAAATTATTCATCTATGTGGCTTTCCTACGCTACGAAAACCGTTCAAAAACCAAAAAAAAATCTTTAGAAGAATTACTTTTAATGATCTAAAAAAATAGCGACAGTATATGTCTATCTTGTAAGTTTAACTTGCGAGAACGACGGGACCCGAACCGTCGTGGGTAAAACTTAAATTTAAGATGAAGAGGAGGTTTGCAAAAATAAATTTTGATGCCCAAAATAACTATCCTACGCGAACTAAGTCGTCGACACAGCCAGTTAAAGATTATTATCATTTCACGCCAACACGTGCGGCAAAGGGAAATAAAACCTCAAGCTAATGGCACTATAAGAGTTTCCACAGTATTTGAAGTCGGAGGTATTATAAAATGCTTAGCAACACTAAATTTCAGTTAGGGTGAGATTTTCTGCCAATTCCACGCTTAATTGACAAGATAAAACGCGTCGCCCATTTCGTTTTGCCCTTTCAAAATCACGAACGGCAATTACAAATAGATTTGAATGAATATTTTACTTCACGCTTGCGGCGGAAGCTTTATTAATAATATTGTTATTCGCAATCGTCTTTCGCCGGTCACTAAGATTGATGTAAACTTGTGAACGGGTTTCACAAAATATTATGGAATAACGAACTAAATTCTAGAAAATGCATAAAAACAGAAAAGTAATAATAGCATAAGAATCTAAGTAAGGCGTGTTAAATTTTAAGGGGATTCGATTCCCACCAGGTCCAACAATTTCTCAATTACATTATTTCTCAGACCTTGCCATTTGATCACGAACTCTGAAAATAAGTGATTTTTTAATTATTTTATTCTTTAAATCAAAATTAATGTACTCATGACCATAACATACATCAAAGGAAAACATACTTGACTTTCCATTATCATAAATTAAAAACCCCTATAATATTTATATGAAGACAAATATACCTTAATACTTGAAGACAATACTATTCTTTACATATTGCATTATCTATTTATATTGAAAAAAATGACGCGTTAGTTCAATTGGTTAGAGCAGTCTCCCCGTGACCACGGCTGCTGCAAAGCATCCGAAACGTCGGGCCGAAGTTAAAAATCATTTCCAAATAAGTTTAACTAATATATCGCGTTTTAAACCGTTAAAGTGTTTTATTTAAATGGTTAGAGCATGGAACATTGTGGATGCCGGTTCAAGTCCTGCCCGAGTCGTTAATTTTTTTCACTCTAAATATATTTTAAATACGTTACTATGATCTATGTATATCTTATATCTATATATATCTTAATTTAGATCACATTTACATCTCAGAACGGTATAATAGAGTTAAGCCCATAGAATATTCAACACAGTGCATTCGGCCTGTCAACTGTCAGACAAGTTGTCAATGTCAGACCGAAATGCAGGGAACGTGTCGGGTACTATATCTACTTACTAGCTGTGTCAGCGACTTCGTCTGCATAGAATAGTTATTTTGGGCATCAACATTTATTTTTGGAATCCTCCTCTTCATCTCATAGATTTAAGCTGATACCCACGACATCATCGGCGTCCCGTCGTTCTTGCAAAGTTAATCTTAAAAGATAGACATATCGTGTCGCAAACATTTACACAAGAATAATGATTTTTTACATATCTTTTGGGTATCTTGAACCGTTTTCGCAGCATATGCAACGAAAACCTACAAGAATGAATCATTTTCCCCGTTTTTCCACATTTCCCGCTGTTTCTTCGATCCTATTAGTCACAGCGCGATGATAACTAACACAAAAATATTTTTTCAAATCTAACCGATTTTTTCTAAAATTAGCACTTCCAAACAAACAAACTCTTCAACTTTATATATTAGTATAGATAGATAGCACAGCCATATCACCATTATTAACAAACACTATCCGATTCATTATTTTAACTGTAATGACGAAATTAATCACACAGTGTCGTAATTACTTTAATTCGACCATACGTCGACCATTAGACGTTACGAATCATCAATAACAAAATGAAAATCGAATATTAAAAACCCTTCTTTATACAATTAAAAATGGAGGAAATAGTTTTAAATTATTATTCGATATAAAAGTGTATTGCTTTTTACTTGAAATGCAGTTACCACAAAAAGTCAATGAATATGTAAAAGTAAATAATATTTTTTATGTATTTGTTGTTATTTATGTATGTGTTGTTTATTTCAAAATAGCTTCACAGCTCTTAAAATGATTGTCTTAAAATCGTGTTGATTATTTAATTTCTAAAACACTCTAACTTTAATTTGGAAATGATTTTTAACTTCGTCCCGACGTTTCGGGTGCTTTGCAGCAGCCGTGGTCACGAGGAGACTAAAGATGGTGGATGTCTCTGAAACGTCGGGCCGAAGTTAAAAATCATTTCCTAATAAGTTTAACTAATATATCGCGTTTTAAACCGTTAAAGTGTTTTTTTTTAATGTGTACTACTCGCGTAAACTATAGACAGTATTTTATTTCTTATAAGTTTCTACAACCATAATTTTTTTTTGTAATTGTTAGAGATTTACATTCGCAATGTACACAATGCATATTATTAAATGCGCACAAATAGTAATTTCCGACCAGCGTCCACAATGAAAATGTAAAACGAAAAGTAACCTAATTTCTCCTATTTCCGGAATAGAACCCGTCTACCACAGGTTCACAAAAACTTCGCTCACCCTCCGGAAAGACCCACATAAATGTGTAACATACCTTTAAAATACATAAGCCCTTTATTCTCGAAAAGGATACTGTCATTGTGTACACTTCGTGTTCCGAACGACCATTTATATAAAGTATTTAAGGGAAACACAAAACTAGTACGATTACCTCGGAGCTTCAAAGAGAAAGCTTTGCAGAAAATAAAAACGTTCTCCTACTCAATTGAATGTTGCAAAAGCTTTTCTCACTTGATTTTCTCTTAAGCTACGGCTAAATATGTGTTACGATAGAAACTAACATTATTTTCGTACGTACATTTTTAACTTCTAGTTATATACCAACTTTTATACTTAATTAACATGAACAATATATCTATACTTTGAAATAATATAATTTTCACATACAGCTTACATTTTTTTTTTTCTATTTTAAAAATAATTTGCAGAGCAATGGTATACTATAAGTCGTGCTGTCGAAATCAGATTAAAATATATTTTAATTAAATAAAAAATCCGCAACACAAAGTGTAATCCCCTTTTCTCCTTGTGTTACATGGGGCGAACACATTTCTGTGTCCGTTTTATTGGTGGGTTTTATTTACAGGCAAGTTTTGTTAATTACAAAAACAAGTACAATTTTAAATTTTGTGCTAAAACGCTTTCTGCTCAGCATGGCTGGATCAGCTGCGCTGATTATCAGTCCCTTATCAGATAAAAAGTAACAGCAAAATTTAAACATTGTGGAAATATGTTTCACAAGTTTTCGTAGTATAATGATACTAGTTTTACCCAATGTCTAGCAAAAGACCTTATCTTTGTCTGCTGATGAAAATAATGCAAGAAATTACATGTAACTAGAAATGTTTGTATCCTAATTGAGAAAACGCTTTTACAATTCATTTCCCTCACAAACGGATACATCACACATCATATACTGTATTTGCTTCGTCAACACTAAATCTCGTTAGCCACTCTTTGAACATAGACTTTAAAAAGACCATTGCTGAAGATTATATATATAATCGTTTTAGATAGCCCGAAACTGAGATTTTTTTTATAAAAAACCTCGAACTATATATAAATAGGGTTTTATTCCGTGACGCTTGCTTGAAAATCCAGACAGAAATATGTTATACATAATACGTACTGTACCACCCTTCAAAGGGGGCAGACGTACAATAACATATAAGAGAAAAAATGACCTGCCTTTGTGGCTACACAGACAGGCGGTTTAAAACGAGAAATATATCAAGTAGTTTATTTTTAAACATGACTCAGCAAACGGTATTGATTTTGCAAAAATCCGACAATAATCAAATTGAGGATAGCACAAAACTGATCATATTTTTATACATTACACTTGTCTCTAAATAAAACCGTTCCAGAAAACAGGCATAGAAATATCTGCGCCATCTACAACAAGATTTTTTTATATTTCCGTCCATAAAATGAGCTAAAAAGTATACTAAAACTTTTAGTCTACTCTACACTATATAAAAGGGTTCAACTGAATCGAATACTGTTTTTATACATATCGACGTAAGAAAACGTTTCGCAAAATGTTCACCAGAGCCGAAAACCTTTTTTGAAATTAGAAAAAAAATCGTTACTCAAAAACTACACATCCTAGAAACACGATTTTAAAGACGTATTTTTATTTCTTCCCGTTTTATATGTTGGCTATATAGAAATCCTTCTGACTCAATTGTTGTCCATGTTTTTATTAGTTACAAATAGAGTAGGAAACTGTTTTACGAATGAACGACTTTGAAAACTTAAATATTGCGTCTTTTATTAAAACTAATTAATATACTGACTAATAATATTGTCAACAAAATCAAATACAAATTAAATCAAACCAGATATAAAAAAAAATAAACTGGCGTGAGCCTCTCTTTGAAAAATTTGCTGACTGCAAAAATGGTGTAAGCATCAAGTGCATAAGAAATACTAGTTTTTGGTAGACTTAAGACTAAAAAACACTAATATTTTCCAAAAACTTGACGGCGTGAGTGATTTTTTATCGTCGTGGAAACACGAGAAACAGACCAACCGACGCAGTATTTTTTCCTGATAAAAATGGTGTTATTAACGTAGTTTCGATTTTTTGAGGCTTACAGCAAATACGTTTTCCATACTTCGATATCCACCATACATCTTGGTCTTCCCGGTAATGTATTGGCAACTTCCCACTCGATCAATGGAACCAAAAGTTCGACACTTTACTTTCAACCCCACGGTTTCACAAAGCTATCCGATATATTAGAAGAGCGCCCTTTCGACAAAATTACTACGTCGAGAAACTTTGACATCTACTATCGGAACCCACGGGTGTATGTGCTTTTCGTAGTAAACATTCGTGTACATGGAGATTTGAAATATTGACATGCTATCTCGCTTGCACAGTGAGATAGTCGTGGCCTACGAGATTAGAGAACTAAGATAATAATAATTTGAAGTAATATGAAACTCAACAACACCTATAACAGCGACTAACTTAACAATTTATTAATATTACAATTTAAGCCAAATAATAACGAGCTTATAACTTATATATTAGGTATCCACCCCGGCTACGCTCGGTTCCATGTTGATATTAAATACAGGACAGAAACACTGTGAACGTTGTATATACAAATTAAAAACGTTCCTCTTACATCACTCTATCTGTTAAAAAAAAACAAACTAAATCCGTTGCTTAGTTATGTAACTATATTATAATGTAAGCGTACACAGAGACAGAAAAAGCGACTTTGTCTTATATTATGTAGTGATACTTATTAGAAAGAAGTGTAATGTGTATAGTGTAGGTATCGATGTACTAAATTAGAGAAAAAACCTAAGACGTATAAATCCCCGATGGAGATGATTACATAAGTTAACTTAATTTTTTTATGATAATGCTTTATCAGACAGACAAGCACGAGGTTTACTTGACTGAAGTTGAAATACCCGAGCCATATAACATCTCAAATAAGATGTCCTAGCGAAACTTTTGAATTTTTAATATTCGCAAATCCACAGTCTGAAACAGAGACGGGATTTAACTTCACAGCTTTCGACGGTGGTTCATGACCTGGACGGGATTTCCTACGCTCCTACCATCTATTTAATATCCATATTTCTAGACGAAGTCAGAAAATATTATTGTATAGATTAGAAACATGTCAGACTAGGTAGGGATCGATTGTTAGCTATGCATTGCAACCATAAGAGAGTCATACTTACGAACTCTTAAATGTAGTGTGCAAAACATTATATTATTTAAATAAAACACTTTAGTTGATTATAAATACGGCCCGACGTTTCGGATGTTTTGCAGCAGCTGTGGTCACGGGGAGACTGTAGTTAAAAATAATCTCAAATAAGTTTAACTAATATACATCGCGTTATAAATCGTTAAAGTGTTTTATTTAAAAGTGTACTACTTACGTACACTACAGACATTATTATATTATTATTAAAACTAAATACCTTAATAGTCTGGATCACAGGCGTTAGTTGACAAAAACGTCGCATTTTAATTGGACAATGGATAAATGTAAAAATTCCCGCAGCACCCACTTTAGTATCCAGCGAGCACTTTTCCACACTTCATACAAAAACAACGCTGAGCGTGACACGATATCAAATTAAACCGAAGCTTACCGTTTGCCGAGGGCCAAAACACACAGTGAAATATTAATTAAATTTCACGTTATGATAAAGCACGTAGTTCATAAAAACCACGAGTCGCCGTTAACTGATTTTCCAGTATTTGTGTGTAAATGTGAACACTGTTTGTTTAAAATTCATCTGGTAATTCGCTGTTGTGTTACAGGTGACAATTATGTTTGTAGTTTAAGAAATTACACATTAAATATAACAGTTACAACTGTTTTAAACTCCCCATATTTAAAATGTCATATCGTAGTAAAAAATCGCATTTAAAACCGCTAAGTGTTATATAATAATGTCTGTGTTTTACTCAGATCAAAATATTGTATGAACCGGCTTTTCCCAAAAGCTTTTATAATTTTTTGTATGACAAAATTATTACGATGAGTTAAGCGTTAAATAACAAATTTTAATACTAAATACTATATATATTTTACGCGAGTAGTAAACATTTAAATAAAATACTTTAACCGTTTACATCGCGATATATATTAGTTAAACTCTTAAACACGATATATACTAGTTTAAATAATATATATCGCGTTTTAAACTGTTAAAGTGTTTTATTTTAGTTTTAATACTTTTGTGTGCTTTTAGTTTGTAGTTACAAGTGTGAACTTTTATGGTTTACCGAATTGAGAGGATCCAGAATGCAGAAGAAGAAAGAAGACTCGATCTCTCAGTACACTCTAAGTATGAACGCCAAGCATAATTATTAAAGTTTGGTGTTCTACCTTACAGTGAATTGATTGGTTGGTATCGTCGGCTGAGAAAGAACAAAATCTTTTTTTTAAATAAAGTATTTCACAGTATTATAGTGATATTTCAGCATTTAATTTAGATTTTTAATAAAAGTACAGTTGTTGTTCTATATTTATAAATATATTAAAATTAATTCAGTATGCTTGTATGTATAAATAAATATCAAAATATAATCGTTACTTAGATTCTTTTGATTATTTTATTTCATAGCAAGTCTACGTACAATGCCGTAGCGCTACGCAAAGCTACGCGTAGCGCTACGACGTAGGCGTTTGTAACTTCGCATGTTTTTCAGTAAACGTATGAATATCGAAGCCAAATATGAGTCCTTTATTACACGAATAATAAATATACAAGATATATCGTTACTTGTAGCGAATATTTCCTCTGTTTTCCGGGCAAGAGTTAAGCCCAAATGTAAATATTCAAACTCCGGGTGGGAAATAGCAAGGGTATCAGTTGTCCAATCAGAGATTTGTTAAAAATACGAGTGTTTTGAACAAACCTTATAATAACTGTATAAACCCACATTTTCATAAAACATTTTCACACTTTGACATTTATTAACTTATAAAAAGCTATCTTTACATTGTATAAGGATTTTGTAACCATTTTTCTATTTGTTTTTTCAAAATCTATGGTTGATCAAGACAATTTGATGGTATTGTTAGTCTAGTGGTAGCAAATAATGACTAATGACCAACGGGTCGTGGGTTTGATCTCCACCGGGTTTTCTTCAAACATGTTTCTATTCCAATTATCATTTTTAATACACAAGTTGAATTTCCTTTGAAAATTTAGACGTGAAAAAGCATTGAAATTTAATCTTATTCTGGTTTTAGTCAAGCCAAAATAGGCTTGCAGCGTATCGTGGTTAAGTGTTATAACATTGAAAAAGATCACCTATGAACCATACCGTCCTCCTGTGTTGATGTGAATAGGCAAAATACTGTCGTTACAGTCACAAATAAGGGAGTGATGTTTAATATCAATTTACTTTGCAACGCCCTGCAATATATCATATTAAGGCTTTCATTATACCCGCGCTTCTGAGAAAGTTGCACTTAATCAAAATACAACTGCGCAAGATTAATATTGCACTATATGTGTGGGAGACATTAGGTACATGCCATGTTTTGACGGCGGCGTGGAATAGTAGAAATATATGGCTGATATTCAACGGGGCGTGGGTTAGATCCCTATTGGGTGCAACATTATTCTATTCAATTATAATTTTTCTGAAACATTTTGAACTTTGTCTGGAAATTAAATGGGTGATAGAAATATTGAAATTCCATCTGTGTTAGGAACTATCGTCCACAGATGAAAAAGCTGTGAAAATTTGTTTCAGTCTGTAGATTTCAGAATATCCAAAGTCAAACTAGGTTGATAGTACATCATAGTTAGATGTTATATTAAATACTGTCTATAGTTTACGCGAGTAGTACACATATAAATAGAACACTTTAACGGTTTAAAACGCGATGTATTAGTTAAACTTATTTGAAGTCTCCCCGTGACCACGGCTGCTGCAAAGCATCCGAAACGTCGGGCCGAAGTTAAAAATCCTTTTGAAATAAGTTTAACTAATTTATCGCGTTTTAAACCGTTAAAGTGTTTTATTTAGATGTTATATGTCTTGGGAATTTCACGTACCATTAAGTGAATCCAATGCCTGTATGTTCTCCGCTAGGTATCACAAAAATATGTAAGAATTATAATGGTTTTGCATTATTTACGAAATGTAACTGTTTAAAACACAATTTTTTTAGTTTAATTTCGGACTACGATTGACATGCTTTCCATAAACCGTGGTTATGGAAGGATGGCGAGTGTCCATTATATCAAATCAAATCTGCTAAGCTTGCTTGTTGATTAATTGGTCTTTCTTCTGTTGAACAGATAAAGAAACAGATGTTACAATGTGCTTCAAATAATAATTATTTTTAATTTTTATATTTAAATAATACTTTTGTATTTATTCTAGATGAGTTCTGCGAGGAATACCCACATAACCTGATCCCTACTCCGGGCTACTGGATAGAGTGTTCGCGACAGAAGATCGCTACAGATACAATTTGGGATGAGTCCGAGTCAGAACACGATAGCGGACCGGACGGGGATAATGAAAACGGTAAGAATAATACAAATTTTATAGACACAAGTCCCAGGTTCAATTCTTAACAGTTTTTTTTTAATGCAAATGTCTGAAGACATTATTATTCTTTATATTTTATTGCACAAACAGCGGCAGTAGCAAGTATCACTGTGGACGCCGCCGGTTCAAATTACGCGAGTTTCATTTTTTTCGTCGTCGTAAAAACGCCATATAAAAATTAAAACTACCCAACAGTGTTAACTTAGACATACAAGTAATGACGTAAGACCGCCCTTATCGCTAAGAAGATTTTCTTCTAGGTATTAAGTAATTTGAGAGTCGAATGGAAGTTATAGTCATTTAAAATGACACTTATGATAACTTCCGCTACACAGTCAGACATTCGATACATTTTCGCATTAGTCAACTAATCAATTATCTTAAATTTAATTATACTACATAAATTAAATAATTTAAACAATGCTTACACTAATATTTATATTATGTGATATATTAAACTTCCCGCTTAAAGTCATGTCTTTTACAAAATGCTATTAAGAGTTCGGAATATTTTAACTTGGTTATAACTTTGATTATTGTTTCCATAATATCGATCATAGCATGAGGTGATTGATGACGCTTTCTAGCGACAATCCGTCAGACAATGTGGATGGGGGAATATCTTATGCCACTTGTCTTTGAATTATATGATAAGTCATAATAATGTACGTTCTATTTTTACCGTTATTTTTGTTTAATAAATTATCTCTTGTCTATAGTTTACGCGAGTTGTACACATTTAAACAAAACACTTTAACGGTTTAAAACGCGATATAGTAGTCGTGGTCACGACGTTTTAGTCTTTTGAGTCTCCCCGTGACCACGGCTGCTGCAAAGCATCCGAAACGTCGGGCCGAAGATAACTAATCCGAAATCACTACGTGATCAAGTAACCTAAGGATAAATGTAAAATCAATAAAGGGTATATTATTCTAAAGTGTCCTTTTTTGTTATAAATACAAATACAGACACTTTTTCCCATTTTTTGGCCAAATCTTATAAATACTTTTGCGATATATTCCAAATACAGACAGTGCAATAATGTAAATCAGTTTTAATTAATTCTTATTGTAAAAATGTATCTTACCCAAAAGGTATCAAGTAGGTATTTTCTACGAAACTTTTTTAATTCCGTTCCATTGTGAGAGTTTTCTAATAACTTACCTCTCAGTCTTCTGCCTATTGGCAGCGGAAAACCAGAAAATTTGTAAGAAGATAAATGATCTACAGAGAATAAAATTAGTTTGTTTTAGTATAAAGTAGCTAAATGGATTTCTATAGTTATGTATAAACATTATAGAAATCCTAAGTCTTCGAAAAAAATAAGTTTAATTTTTTAAGGACGGATTCAGAAAGAGTCGCTAATTATATTAATTTTAGTAAAGATTTTTCTCTTTAATATGATTCCTTGGTTAAATTTCTTAATAAGCGTCCAAAGTGAAACATCCCCATAATTACATTAAACAAGTTTGAAACTTATAAGCGCTTTCTTCGGTCAAGTCCTCAAAGTCTAAATATTGAGTTTGCAACTTCGCTGCGACAAAATATTCGTAAAATTGAATAATAAGGTATTGGGAAGTTATTGGTACTCTCAAAGGAGTAAAATTGAACTTAGTTTAACTTCGCGACATTAGTTAGGAACTCTGATATTAGAAACTGTCATTAAATCTATACTAATATATAAAGCTGAAGAGTTTGTTTGTTTGAACGCGCTAATCTCAAGAACCAAGAACTACTGGTTCGAATTGAGAAAACAACTTTGTATTAGACAGACCATAGATCGAGAAAGGCTTTGGGCTATAAGACATTAGGCTGCTACCAATAAGAGCAAAGAAACAGATGGAAATGGGGGAAATCGGGGAAAATGTTAATCTTTGAGGGCTTACGTTGGATGTGCACCTAAAACCGTTCAAGATACCCCAAAAAAAATTGGAATGATTTAATAAAATGTCGATGACAATATAATGTCTATCGTTTAAGATTAACTCACAATAACCAAGGGTCGCGAACGGCGTCGTGGGTCAATAGGTTTTATGTAAACTGTCCAAAATACGTGTCCTACGCGAACGAAATCTCGGATACAGCTAGTAATATATATTTTCTACGCATACTGAACAACAAACATTATTTACTTTTTTATTTATCAAAAAGCGTCTGACGAAACTAAGTTCTTGTTTTTCATTTAACGAATGTAAAACTTAAAACGACAGCTTAAAACAAAGCATTCAGTGCAGAGAGATAAAAATTAACATCTGAAACTAAAATATAACTGCCGGAACGCATGTAACCCGACTATTTCAAGTTGATATTTGCATATTCAACTTTATATCTACTGTAAAACAAATCCGACTAGAATTCGTAATAACAAAATTTTCATGTGTTCTAGGAAATAGATTTTGTGATAATATTAATTAACTTTACTGAGAGTTTACATAGATTATTAGCTGGAAGATTTCTCTATTATGGCAAAAAAACAGTAAACACGAATCTAATTAGCAACTATATATGTTAACATAAAATTATTATATGTAGCTGGCATCAAGATAGCATGGTATCAAGGCTTTAACGAATAAAAAAACATGTTGTGTCAATAAGATCAAAGTAACAGTGAAAAATGTGAAAGAATTGGGCAAAATTATTCATATTTGAAGGTTACGTTGAGTACGCTACGAAAACGGTCCAAGATACTCGAAAATATGCATGAAAGAATGTTTATTTAAATAATTTAAAACGTATAGGATTATTTCTCAAGAACCGAACGAGAAATACCTCGTATGGTAAAATAATATTTGCCAGATCAGTTTGTAATCAATAACTGTTAGTTTTCCTTATATAATAACATATTGATATAATGTAATGGAAAATAATGCTTGACTCTTATCGTGAACTAGTCACGTCACAGTAATGTCTACAAAAAATGAGTTTCCATTTGTTAATGATAGAGAAGGACAGACAAGCATGGTAGAAAGCCAGCCAGCCTATATCATCTAAACAAGATTCGCTGTAGACCTCTTTCGGCTTTTTCATCTGTGGACGGTGGTCCGTGGCCCGAATGGAATTGCGATAATCCTACCATTACCATTAATAACCAGATTTCCAGACGAATTCCAACATGTTTCAGCATAATTCTAAATTTGACATTAAGGATAAGCTAGCTATCCCCAAATATAGGCTCCATAACTAATTTAATTGCGGAGAATTGTACTCGTATGTATAATACATTGCCAGTTGAGGTTTCAATTTTATCAATAAATAAGTTCAAAAAAGTCGTAAAATTTAAATTGTCTCTTTTTTTAAAAAACTTACTTTAATGACAGGGCTGCCTGGCAGTAATAGGAATTGCTCCTTAGCTCATTAAATTCACACAAATGTATTAGTTTGTAAGACACGTTAAAAAAAGCCAGACTGAGTGTTCTCGGGTGTTCTTCTCGGTTATGCTGCTCTTTTGAACACTCTGTAGATTCACGACGAACGGACAGACAAACATTTTATTTAATATTTTTTTGACGAATCTAAATAATTTTACAGAAAAGAAAGTATGTTTTTTTTATTTCTTGATTTGAAAAATATTGGACCCGTTGATCATTGCTACCATTATACCAACGTAACGTCCTTGGCCGTAATCTGTCCAGGGCAAATGATATATAAATTATTGAAAGCATGGGTCATAGCATTCGGCACACGTTTTCAATTTATCGAGCCCATTATTACAGCTGAGACGCTTGGCGCCCGACACCGAGACTCGGTTGTCATTCTACAGATAAATACACTCGGTAACCTCCTTAATAAACACTATTATGAAAGCTTAGTGGTTCTTTTAGATTACGTCACTAGGAGGAAGGACTCATTGTTTCTCATTCTCACTCATTTCAACATTTCCTTAAAAACGCTTTCAACGATTTAACACGTAACGGTTTAAAACGCGGTATATGCTAGCTAAACTTATTTTAAACTATGGCCCGACGTTTCAAACCGTTAATATATATCGCATTTTAAACCGTTAAAGTGTTTTATTTCAATGTGTACTACTCGCGTAAACTACAGACATACCTAGTAATTTAAAAATTATTTTAACTACATTTTTAGCTATATTTTTATTATAATAGTGTATAATAAAATATATATTCGAGATATTCATATAAAATACGTTCCAAAAAAATTCACGTCTTAGTCAATAGTTACCGCCGATTAACTAATGAAAAATATCTCATAAAATCGTGTCTTATCGTAAGGTAGCGTTATAAAGTTAGCATGTTACAATACTTTGAAGACGTCACAAACAAATCACCGTGTAATGGCTCAACATATTTTATGCAAGCCTAATTTTTCCAAGGTGCTTAAGCAATCTGTGATTCTACATAAAATATGAAGTGAAAAGCGTCGCTTTTCAAAGAAAATTGTCCCCACTTACACGCTCACGTGCATATTATGATAAGAGACATATTTTACATATTATCGTATTTTGCGCGCAAGCGAAAATCCCTGGAACATAGAATATTCATTTCTCTCAACGAAGGTTCCCTAATCGCGTAAGAGGGAGACTAAGGAATTTTTCCAGTGTTCTTGCGCATTATTGATGCATAACCCAACTTTGTCAGACCTTTGTTACTCGCGTCTCGGCGACGTATTTTATTCCTGAGTACATTGTATTTTTAACGAGATGCCGAACTAAAGTTTCTTTCTTACCTTTAAAATAGCTTGAGGGTTTAAAAGATCGATAAAAATACTCAATTTCTACGAGCGACAGACGGAAATATAAAGAGAGTTCCATTCTGTAGTTTACGCAAGTAGTGCATATTAAAATAAAATTTAACGGTTTAAAACGCGATATTTTATATTAGTAAAAAGTAATTGAAAATGAATATAATAACTTTACTAATATATAGCGCGTAATGAACTGTGCAAGTGTTTTATTTAAAAGAGTTCTATTCTACTAATAATTATTATTACAATGTAACATTGGGACATTGAATTGA